AATTGAACAGAGAGAAGTGCTCTAAATGGCAATTTTAAAGTTAAATTGTGTGAAAAGAGCTAAGCTGTAATTATAATAAAACCACCAGAAAAAGACAACTGAATTGTTTTTTGGCCTTATAAATAGCCTGGATCAAATTACTAGAGAAGTTGCTGCTGTGTGGAACGATTTAAAGAAGAGCAAAGGAAGACAAATAACAATTTAATACACAGATGGCCTGAGCAACTTCTGCGAGAAATACAACAATGAGAAAAACCGAGCTGATCAAGAAGGCATGAGACAACAGGAAAGAGCGGGGCACCATGATCGTTATAGTGTCTGCTCCAGACCTGCCACCTATATTATGAGGAAGAATTATCTTAGTAGTAGGCCTAATGATAGTATAATAAGCAATATCTATAACTACTATTAGGGGTCTGTTGATATAGGTTACATTGTAATTATCAACATTGTCATCAATTTTTTTCATTATCATTCTTACATTCATTATCATTATTATCATGTCACTATCATATACTTGGGCACGTTAAAGTAAGATCCCTTGGTGGTCTAAAATCAATAAAAGTTGGCTTCGGTCGCCACTGGGGCAAAATTCAATATTTCCTACCAACTGAAAGTTTAATGTGTGTCCTGCGCGATCATATGACCTTAATTAATATTATTATGCAGTTGTGAGTGCCGTAAAACACATACCAAAACAAACAACTTTTATTATAATTTACTACATGTATCATAGGCCTATTATTGTTACGTTATCGTTATTGCTCCTATTATTATCATTATTATTATCATTATTATCATCATTATTATTATTACATAATGTGTATGCTTCCCGGGAAGCTGAGAATGTTTCTGAGTGTTCTATGGTCTGCTAGGGTAATAATATAGTGTAAAGCGCATAGAGCCTGCTGTTGAGCGGGGATATGCGCTATACAAATGCTATCTATTATTATTATTATTTAAAAAATCACCACAGTTGAAATAGAAAGTAAAACTACAATAGACCTTGACCTGATCTTGGCCTTGACCGTGGTAATCGGTGATTCCCGAACAATATATTATGTGATGTTTTCAGGTATTGATTTTTGTTTTGTTTACAAAGGATTGTTTAAAGTATTCAAATTTATGGTTTTCATGCACCAAAAGATACCCCATTAGTGACCTGCTGTACAAGTCTTTTTACGTTAAAGGCTGATCAAAGAAAAAGAAAGTAGCATTTCCCAATAAATTTCATCGACCACTGATGTTTTGGGAACTCTTTGTGTGCACAATACGTTGAAGAGTGCTACAACACCATGGAAGACATGGCCGACGTGGAAAGTAAAAGTAGCGCAAAGGAAAATATACTTTATGACTTATCAGTTCTTGCTGAATGGAAATTAGAAAATGAATTATTTGTAAGTCGAACATGTAATGTAAATGTAGCTTTGGTGTACTCGCCTTTAAACAAAGCAAGAGTGTAGATCTAGAAATCTAGATCTAGAAATCTAGACTCTAGTACTCTAGTTCTAGATTCTAGTAGATCTAGCCAAGGCCTATCATTATAAAATGATTATTATATGTATAGACTGTAGAAGTAGAAGTGTAGACTAGACTTGCAGGTGATCTTGTAGTTCCGTTCGTTTAAGTCCACGATCCATTTGTTTACATCCAGAGAAGAAATCCAAAAGTCTTGATGACAAAACAGGCAACACAAAGAACAGGGATGCAACCTAACTTAACTTCCATTATTATTTTAAAGATGCCTGTACTAAATCTAGATCTAGACTCTAGATTCTAGATCTAAATCTATACGTGGCTTTTTTTAACCAGCTTGTAATTTTTAAAAAATCATTTCAGTTAATACAATTTAATCAAACCATATGGACTAGAAAGAACGCATATATGTGGAAGATATTGAGAATCTTGTCAATGCAATAGGTATGTGCCTTACAAATAAAAGAAATCAGGACAAAAGATCATCAAAACAGTTGCAAAGTTACAAAGAAACATTTAAGAAATTAGATATCCACCGACAGAATTTTCATCATAATTTCAAAAAACAAACAAACAAACAATCAACAACGGGGATCTGCAGTGATCATGCAGATCTGGGTCTTGTTATTGGCATTTATCCACTTTTTCTTTTATCTTTTCTTCTCAGTCATGAGCAAAACGTTCATCTCACAGAAGTGTCATATTTGGTTAACCTTCCCACCCACCAATCTTACACTTTTCTTACAGAAGCCAAAGACACCCTTTCCCCTCTGAGGTGTAAGTTTATATTTTGAACGGCCCCTCCTATAGGCTTAGATCTAATACATTGAGGCATGTCGCGTACATGAGAGGCGGTGTAGGGTCGTTTTTTGAGGATCGCCGTAAAAATAGCCTGGGACTCACTGGAAGGCTATCTTTACGGCACGCCGTAAAACTAGCTTGGGAGGCTATCTTTACGGCTCGCCATAAAAATAGCCACTGCGTATTTTTATTAGGTCAGGAACCCCCTACTCTTGACTTTAACGAACGAAACTACAAAATCACCGACTTGCAGTCGTAGGCTGTAGGTAGGGCAATTGTTTACTTTCTCGCGTTTAATTCCGGCAGCACCTAGATTTCTTGATCAAGACGAAACTCTATGCATCCCGACTATTCAAAACTGAGCTGGAGTTAAGATACGTAAACTACGGCAATTTCATCATATTTTGTAGGTAGATAAATGGCTTTAGGCCTTCCGTACTGATTTTTATGGCTTATGGCCATTGAGTAGGCGGCGATTTTGTAGTTTCGTTCGTTGAGAGAAGAGGGGGGTTTCAGGGGGGCATGCTTCCCTGAATTTTACCATAATTTGATGTTTTGCAGTTAGGTTGCGATGTGATAAAAAAAATTAATTAATTACAGTAAAACTATAACACGCTACAAAAAGAAATTTCAGTGGAATAACAAAAGGTGGTGGAAGTAATGGTGATACTGTAGTGGTGGTGGAAGTAATCATGATGCTGTTGACTGGTAGTGGTGCCCGGAGCTGGTTACCGTATATGCAGACCCTGAGTTGTCGGTTATCGTGTACGCAGACATTGCCATTGGGCAATGAGAGTGCAGTCTTTTGACTTTTGAAACAGTTACACAGTCCTAGTTGGTAATTCTGGTTCTAGTTCTGGTTTTACATAAAATCCCCAGACGACAGTTATATTAATGTAACCTCCTTACACTCACATAACTCACTTAGAATCTGAGTCAGAATAAATAAAACATTTTTTTTCGGACCTGAGTCCGAATAGATCAAACCCATTTTCGGACTCAGGTCCGAATAAATAAAAAATCTGATCCGACTCGAATCCGAACAGAGGTGGCCTTTACAGTTTTAGAAAGGTTGAATTACAAGTTTTTTTAGTTACTGTTTTTTTATAAGTGACAATTGGTTATTAAATAGTAACAAGCAGGGGTATGCATTTACACTGCAGTGGTCTCCTCTGTTTTCTTTGCTAGAGCTGCTTTTTTCGCAAGGTCTAAATTTAACTTTTATATATGTAGGAATGTCCTTTCTTGCACAACTCCTGTTAAGACATGTGTGGGTGGTTGGCAGGTGCTCTGGTATGGTTTGCTCCTTCTTCTATCAAACATCTATCATCCTTATCTCTCCTTTTTTTGTGTTTGTTACTCTCTTGTAACACCTCTAATCTTCGGCACAGATATGACCTTGTTGTGTTGCAAGTGCCGGAAAATCTTACTAAAACTAAAACTGAGATCTTGATTTTGCTGGAATCAAACTTTGATTAAATAGTATGTTTGATTTTATTTTCATCAGTCTGTATTCAACTCAAAAGTATGATTTTTGTCATGATTATGTTTTGGACTCTTTCAGACAAGAAGCCAGAAGGAAAAGCTAAACACATCATTAATAGGCAGAGCATCATCCCTTGTGAGGCGTAAGTACTGTCGAAACAAAAGGATTATATATTGTATGTCTTCTTTAATTTGTTTCTGCTGTTTGTGATGTGCTCATCGTTTCTCAAGTATTTTCTTTTTTAAATTTGAGTCCTGAGTCTTTAATTTGGTTATACAGTTCCTTTCCCAGCTACAATACTGCAAGTTTGATCTTCATTACCTTGACCTTTACCGAATGCTGCTAAGGTCCTTTGCTCTCACAATAAGATAGAGGGGCTCAATGCAACATATTACCATTTATTACGTTGTGTACATAGGATGCAACTTTTTGCTTTAAAAAATAAAGGCTTCAAAGTCTCCCAGCGTTTTGTCTATGAGATACGAAATTAGACCCCAAAATCCAAGTAGGAGCCGACCAAAAGAACATTCTGTGGGTCAGGTGAAAAGTAAGATAAATGTATTATACATTACAGGTTTGTAAGAAAAATTTTGATTTGTTTTGTTTTGAATTGAGGTTCGTAATGAAAAATCCTTTTAAAAAAGTGCTTGCCATGAAAATGTGATACTTCTTATCCGACAAATACATGATTTAAAGCTACGCCTCCGGAATTTTGGCTCTCAAGTCTATCAGCGTCTTATTAAATATTATTCATGCTTGTGCCCAATGTGCAAAGATATACTGTATCTTTTCTCGTTCAGGCCTGTTTTCATGGAGTCCCCCCCTGCTAGACTTGCATTTATTCTTCTCTGCTTTAAAAACACTTTGCTGTAACAAAGTTGGTAGGTTTTTACAGTTTATTTTGTTGAAAAGTTTCTTCAGTGAACCTGCAGGCTGTGTTGAAAGTAATTGACAGTTTTTGCAGGAAACATGTATGTTTGTCTTTTTCAGGGTCAACATGGACCTTTCTCAGGAGTGTCGGGGTTGCGATGCAGTAAGTCTTCTTTTTTTTTTACTTTCCCATAAGTAGATTTAGGTACCGGTGTCTGTGGTGTACACAGGATACCCGAGTTCCATGCCCAGGTGGGGAGAAATTTTTGTCGATTATGTCGGTGTTTCTGCTGGGATGTTGTATTCCTAACTGGCAGGGTCAGAAGCTGGCCTCCTAAATGTCTAAATTTTGTTGATGGGAGCGTAAAAAACACCAACATAAAAAAAATAATTATGTTAACCTCTGCAGGCTGAAAATAAATCGCAATTAAGAATAGCGTTAGAAAAACAAGGTCCATATATCTTAACATTGCATGACTGTTTGTAATACTCACTGTCGTCAGTGATTTAATTGTTTAGCTAGCCATATTTTCATTTATGGAGGGGCAAAAGCTACCCTGGTAGCACAATTCGAGCGAATTCGATTGTGACCTTCAAAAACAAACACTTTTTCAATGTCACTAGTCGAACAATGAGACATATAGTCCATTTACTGCTTGCAAGAAGAATGTAGTAATGGACAGTAGATTTGGAGAAGCCGATGTTGATAGATCTTGAAAGCCATCTACACTTCCCGGGTCTGTAGGCTTTAAGAACCTCTCCACACAGCAACTGTGACATGTGGCAGTTGGCGCTTGAGGTCGCTATGGAAAGAAATGGCTGTGTTGTGGACTGTAATTTCTGTGTATTATAACACCTCGCGCCGGTCAATGCTTTCCATTGCTTGTCAATGCTTTCCATTGCTTGTCAATGCTTTCCATTGCTTGTCAATGCTTTCCATTGCTTGTCAAATTTGACACAAGTAGGGAGGGGTCTATCTGCTGAATGCACTGAAGTCGCCAAATCGACCTGACCCGACCCGACCCGACCCGACCCGACCTGACCCGACCCGACCCGACCCGACCCGACCCGATTTACAATGGGCACGCGGTATTATGCTTCTTTTTGCGTGTTCTTCACAGGATGCCCACCCCTTGCTTATTGCCAGAACAGCTTGTCAGACTGAAAGCCTCTGAAAATGGATG